TATCTGGAGTCTGCAACTGGCGTACACGTTTCAACACCGCTACAAGCATCTGCAGTACCTCAACCCAGCCTTTCAACCCGGCATCCAACAACTTTCCGTCCTTTACCACACCGTCGTGGTCAATCACAATGAGTTGCCATTTGAAGCCGTCTGTGGCCAATCCATATGTTGTGCAATCGAGCCGAGCCCCTTTGTGCTTTCGGGCTTCCCAAATACAGGCGGCATAGCCAAGCACTTGTACCAAACCTTTAAGGGGCGGAACGGGGCCGTCTCATAGCCTTAGGCTTCACAGACGTACAGACTTAAAAAAAAAAAAAAAAAAAAAAAAAAAAAAAAAAAAAATAGCCAAGCACTTGGGCACGGGCCTTGTTGAACTCAGATTCTCGCTTGGCCTCGACCAAGATGAGGTATGACGTGAGATGCTGGGTCTCCGGATCTCGGAGGGCAACTGCGTAGTCCATTCGCCCAGTGTAGACTACTTCCTTAATGCCACTTGATTCGCCTGATCTGACCCTTTGCTGTTTCCTGTGTACCGGAGAGTGCACATGAACTTCAGCAAGGCACAGAACACGACGGGATAGGTCAACCGGAGTGTGACGGCCGGTGTCATGGAGGGTTCTGAGGATTATTTCAGGGGTAGCATTAGGGATTGCAATGGCGTTACCCCAATCCTCAGCTGCACCGGAGATGATAGCAACTGCCTCCAGGAGTACTTGGTCCACAGCAATCCTACAGATAGCCTCGGTCTCGCGGGGGAATAGCTTTGGTACAGAAAACTGAATCGCAAAAGAGGGCCAGAGCAGGAATAATTAATGAGGCTGGTGTCGAGGACATCATTTTCTCCGGCGTGGGGGATGTCAATAAAGTGGAACCTCGGATAGGCGTAAAAGGATTCCGAGTAGGTCAGCCCGAATGTGACCAGAATGAGGTCGAATGTGAGAATTTTGATGGGAATAGTTTCGGTTTGGGAGGGCGTGGATGGGGAGACCGCGATGAAGTGCTGGAGAGCTTGATATTCATAGGGAGGCAACGCTTGAACAACCTTGAGGAGTCGAAGGAGCTTGTCGGAGACGGCCGGGGAGGCCCTCCGTGGAACCGATCGTACGAGGGGTTCCCGTTGATTGGCTTCGTTGGACTGCAGGGAGTATATCCTCATCATGAAGAGGGGGGGAGTTTGCATTTGTTAGAGGACAAGCTGTTTGGAGGTGTGTGGTATTGAGGAAGTATCTAGTCTGGTTGGCACGAAGGATTACAACTGGCGTTTTATAATGCTAGTGCCTCAGAGCAGCTCTTGCTGACCTGTTGCTGACAAAGCTGTCATACACTAGCTGGGAGCAAAGGCTTAGTCTTATACTAAAACTCTGATTATTCATATTCTTTTGTAGAAGAGTCTAAGTTGTTTTAGTGGAATATATATGTTCTGGTCCGTTCCGGGATTCCAGGCCATACCGGTATGGACCGGGCCGTTGCGAGTTTGCCGGCCGTTGCAGAATGAATATATGCGCACTCCAACAACAGTTCTACAATACTACAGCGACACTCTTATACTGCATATAGTAAATACCAAATTCCAATATTAGGGTTATTTTATAGCGGCCTATTTAATTAAACCAAGAACAAAGGGATAACAACATCAAATTCAGTTTATTAAATCCTTAATATATTTGTATTACACCTTCAAACTCACATCAAACTAGCATTGACTCCAGCGACATATTCCACAAACCTACTCATGTACATGTCAGACTCCTCATATTATCTGATATTTAATCACTTGCGCTTATCCCTTTTATGTTGTTAAGTTACTTGCCCTTTGTTCTTTATTTTGTTAGGTAACTAGTTATAATATAACTTTAATATTAGATATACTTCTATTAGGTATTTACTATATATGGTATTAGAGTTGTCGCTGTGGTATTGTCGAACCATTGTTGGTATTGTAGAACCATTGTTGGTATTGTAGAAATTATACTCTATTGCTGTGACATTGAAAACCTTTGACCAAAGTTTTAATTTTGCAATGGCCTGGCTGGGCCGTTCTAGAATAGCATATACATTTACATATTATATGCGCACTCCAAGCATATTAATGCAAGCAGATAGTGCAAGTGATTAAACACCAAATAAAGAGACAAATAGATCTTAGTTATGAGGAGTCCAACCTATGCGTAAGTAGCTAGACTATTATAAATTGTTGCTGTAACCACCAAGCATTGTGTAATTCCTCCTTCAACACGAAGGTTCAGTAATTAATGGATTGATTAAGTAGAATTGAGCAAGCGAAGCAATTTTTTATACCCCTCATTTAGTTACTTATGCTCTATCTCTTTATTCTTATTTAATTAAGTAACTTATTATAAAATAACTGTAATATTAGATACACTACTATTTTGTATTTACTATGTGTGATATTGAACCGTTGTGGTATTATAGAAGTCACCATGGCATTGAAAACCTTTGACCAAAATTTTAATTCCATAATGGCCTAGGCCGTTATAGAATCCAGGCCATTCTGGTATGGCCCGAATCTATTTTTTACTACTTTTTCTTTATATTTTAAGTATATAATAGATTTTCTACTTTTCTTATTTTATAGTTACTCTACTTAACTTCCTCCTCCTTTAATCTAATATATTATATAAATTTAAATTAAAACTTTAATTATTTAGACAAGTTTATATAGTTATAGTTAAATTATATATATTACTATTATTTTAAGAAAGTATATAGTAAGTTAGTACTTATAATATATAAGGCTATAGAGATTTTTATCCACTAATTCTAATTTGTATATTATATCTTATATAACATCTTTAGTACTAACTTTTAGTCTTAATAATGCAATAAATATTTGCCCGATTGCTTCCAAACTTTGCACAGGACTTGAACATATATATATGAAGATATCCTAAAGCTGAGGCCCTATATTGTACACTTTTTTTTTTTTTTTTTTAAAAAACTCAGTACTCGTATGCACAGGGTCGTATGACGAGCCACCCGGAAACCCGGGTGGATTCAAGGGACGGTCAAGTTAGTCTGACGCCCTGCGCGAACTATGTACAAATAGCAAGAGAACGCAAAGGAAAGGGAAATGAAAATATGCGCAACATCCGACGAGTGAGCGGCGAGCCTCGCCCCCCTCCTGAAGCCCTCCTGCCTGCTCCTTAGCGTCCGGCAAGGGGGCCTATATTGTACACAATTAGGATAATGGTAGGTGTAGTATTACTCAAATGGTACCTTTTACCTCTGTGGTTCTTTGAAATGCAGAGGATGTGAAGGAGGTCTGGGGCACCTACAGGAGCACCTAAAGGCCCTCAAGAAGAACTGCCCAAAGTTTCATGAACATTGGAATGAAATTGGTCGAGATACCGTGAAAACGTCCGATTCGGCGTTGCCAAGAAAGTGTCCCGCATCCCTGTCGTGTCCCGCTTCCCCGTCATATACAGTATAAGGTGCTGAGCGATATTGTCCGAAGCAAGCTTATAAGGTGCTGTGCGAGCCTATAAGGCACTGAGCGAGTCTGTATTCTCCGGAGCAAGCCTATAAGGCGCTGTGCGAGCCGATAAGGCACTGAGTGAGCCTATATTGTCCAGAGCAAGCCTATAAGGTGCTGTGCGAGCCTATAAGGCGTTGAGCGAGCCTATATTGTCTGGAGCAAGCCTATAAGGCGCTGTGCGAGCCTATAAGGCACTGTGCGAGTCTGTATTCTCCGGAGCAAGCCTATAAGGCGCTGTGCAAGCCGATAAGGCACTGAGTGAGCCTATATTGTCCAGAGCAAGCCTATAAGGTGCTGTGCGAGCCTATACGAGTGTATAAGGCACTGAGCGAGTGTATAAGGCACTGAGCGAGCCTATAGGGCACCGAGTGAGCCTATAAGGCCCTGAGCGAGCCTATATTGTCCGGAGCAAGCCTATACGGCGCTGTACGAGCCTATAAGGCACTGAGCGAGTCTGTATTGTCCGGAGCAATCCTATAAGGCACTGAGCGATGTTGTCCGAAGCAAGGTTATAAGGTGCTGAGCGAGCCTATAAGGTACTGGGCGAACCTATATTATCCGGAACAAGCCTATAAAGCGATGTGCGAGCCTATAAGGCACTGAACGAGCCTGTATTATCCAGAGCAAGCCTATAAGGCGCTGTGCGAGCCTATAAGGCACTGTGCGAGGCCTAGAACGAGCTCAAATATCTAGCGAACTCGAGGTTGAATAACCCCCGAATGAGCTGAATGAGTCCTATAACTTCCGATTGAGCTGCACGAGTTCTACAATATCGGAATGAGCCAAAACGAGTGTATAACTCCAGAACGAGCCGAACAAGCATTATAACCCAGACGTTATAACTCCGAATGAACTCAACATGCTCTACGCCCATGCTCTAATTCCAAAAATTGTATAGTAAAAGAATCGAATTAATAATGAAAAAAATCTAGTTCTGGATGACATGCCAGAGCCCTACTCCTAATTTTTGCTTCAACTCCAATATGGAAATAGTAAAGTTCTGCTTCTTCTTTGTATTGTAACTCATGACACTCAACATTACCTCGAACATCTTCTCAAAGCCTTTGTTCTCTATGAAGCTATACTGTTTCTCCTTCAGGCATTTTGATTTTGAACTCATAAGTCATGTGAAGAACAAGCTCACATCCATATTACTACTGTGCAACAGCTCACAGACCAGGAATACCCGTGGTTCCCACACTGCTTCTTCAGCAGTTATTGGAATTGGATCCTAGTTGCCTGCAATAATTGTCGGCATATTGAAGATCCCTCAGAGTAGAGTAAACAGTGTACTCGTGCAGGCGGGAGTGACGAAAACAGTACAGTTAACTAACATAATATATTCGGAGCTACTAGCGTTCATTTGGAGCTACTATACATTTGGAGCTACTAGGTAGCGCTTACCTCACCATGGATGTTTCTATATGCGAGTAATGAAAAAAAAAAAAAAAAAAAGCCGCTCTACCTTATAACATGGTCACCACTTGTCAGAAAAAAAAGCTGACGACGTCGACAAGACTCGAACTTGCGCACGCAGAACGTAAGTGATTGTCTTGCACACGATGAACAATTCTAATCACTCCCCTTAACCACTCGGGCACGACGTCTTGATTGTAATATTTTACAATCAATTTTAATCATATCATGAATCATATTCCAGAGCACCTACGTATGCGTGTAAGCAGATCTTTGCTTATCGTATATATCTACTCAGTACTTAATATGTAAGTATAGTGAGTACCCTTGTGGAAACCCCGCTTAAGCCTATGCTAAATATTTCCGCACCCACAACTCAAAGATTCATATTAATCAACGGCTTGCACTTTTAGATTTTGAGCCCGATATCTGCGAGAGCAGTGGAAGCACATCCAACGCGCAGAGCGGGAGTTCCATTAGCAGTCCAAACCTAGACGACTGGGCGCCAGAAGAAGCCTAGCTGCGATTAATATGGTGAAAATACCGTCTCAATTCGATATCTATATATAAATCATGCAGCCTCGAAGATCGGTTTTCAGTCAAATAAGGTACTGCAATACAACCTTACCCCCATGGTATTTGAATACTATAAAATGAATCCCTATCTGAGTAAAATCCATCATGTTAAGCAGCATGCCATTTAGAAATCATACACGCCCTACAAAATTAGTTCAAATGTCTCTAGTAATAGCTTAGTTACAGTCGCTTACTACTATGAGACGAAGCCTGCCGTTCCACGATGTCATTAGACCACAACATATACCAATGAGTGCTCATACAAGCTCCATATCTCAATTTAATATGTCGATAACCCTGCAAAAACGGTTAATCTTGTGCTGTGATGGCACTGGAAAGTCTTCAATGCGAGGCCCTGCTGCCATACCAACAAATGTAACACGTCTTTGCTCAGCATTGCAAGACACTTCTACGCAAATTATCTTCTACCAATCCGGAGTTGGCACTGCCATAATAGGGGAAATGTATACCACAGTTGCAAGTAAGTTACAACTAATGCAAGTGCATTATATTGAGATATTATCACTTGTATACACGTTATCTTTTGCGACTTACCACATAAACGACATAGGCGGGACGGATCTCGGGATCAATGACAACATTCTAGACGCCTATCAGTTACTGTCGAATAATTACGAGGTTGGTGACGAGAAAGCCTGGGCACGTTATGTCCGGCCGGATAAGGGGGCAGCGTTCAACGACTTTGTGAAGAATTGTGGAGAGTTGATAGGTGAGTAACCTTTCATATTTACAAGTCAGGTATTTAGTAGGGATTGACATCTGACTCTGTCCTAGATGTAAATCTTAAGCAATGTTGGTTCCCGTGTGTGCACACCAACGTGGGGGGTGGTTATCCGGACTCACATATGGCCGATCTTACACTCTTCTGGATGCTGGAGCAGTGCCGAGGTCTGCTGGATTTTGAAGAGCTTTTCATCGCCCAGACAATTCAATCGAATCACTTTCCACAGCACAATTATGGAAAACTGAGAAGAGGCATCTCACGAATTTATCCAGGGTGGGGCAAAGGAAAAATCGAAGACTCTTATTGGACGAGTCTCATGCCGTTGCTTGGAATGTCTTATCGAGCAAGGGGATAACGAATGAGGTAATGCACCGCAGCGTAAGGAGTCGCTGGCAGTGCAACAAGCTGAAATGGAAGCCTAGGGCGCTCAGTGGCTTTTCACCAGTGCAAAGTGATGATAGTTGTGAGTGGAGATGGGTCAAACCTCCCAGTGGTGGGCAATCAGTTGCAGTTGAGCTACCGGAAGAAATTTTTCAGCGCTCGCCCACATCATGGCAACGCAGACTCAGGGATGTCAGTGCAAAGCGAATGAATTTTAGCAGGAAGCTTGATTTTCTGCCGAGGAACTCCCACGCGTATTTGAGAGATGATTATGAACCTCCTATAGAGCGTACTGGTCAGGAGGCAAATTCCGCTTCCAAAGTGAGTGGCCTTTCTTTCAATTTTCTTAGGTGGCTCAAGATTAGGCCCAAGATATGGCTGGGAGTGAGATCTTGAGAGGATTACTCCAAAGATACTAGAGCTCAGGTTGTAGGCCCATGCCAAGCTCAAACAGTAAAAGGTGGTACATGTACTAGCATCTCCACTTACCTCAACTAGCACATGAATACAATATCATCACTACTCATCACACACTATAGCTAGGTGTCTTTGAGTGTGATCATATAAATCTTGGACATTTTTCCCCATATTAATGCATTGTAAACACCCATATCTACCTTACATTCAAATGTGATTAACTGAGAGTTAACAAATTTAGTGATTTGCACGGCGGAATCATTATCACGATCAGTGCCAGTGAATTTCCGCCTAGGTGACACAGAAACCCAATAGATTGGTATTATTGTCTTCCAGTGGTTGGGATTGCATTAGCCTGAAGACACACAAGTATTGCAGATCTTTGTGCGTTTAGCTTGCCAATATTATCATAGCAGATATGAACTCTACAAAAAGCTACTTCAGGGTAACTAAGATCAGTAGCAAATGATCTCCAAAACATAAAGTTCAGTAAGTATCCCTCTACAGTTATCGCCTACTCTCGTATGCCAGCCGCTGAGTTAGATTATATCGGTTATTTCCCAAATACCTTTATGGTTATTAATTTGAGGCTGTGGCTGATCATACTTAAGTAGATAAGCTGGATAAACAGAGTCCGGAAGAATTGCCCAGGCCACCAACCAGACTACCATCACGGCTTGATAGCTTAACGAATTCCCGGCACGAACTATGAATTCCATGACTACCTTGTTCTGTGCTGAAAATTTGTTGAAACGACATTTGGAATGTAAAATTGCTCTTAATATTAGGGGATCAGGATTGAGTTCTCTAATTCCACAGTTTTCGTTAGAATAATATACTTTAGATACCATTCTTAAAAGTCAGAAAAAATCAGATTTTACATTCAGAATATTTGGAAACTCCGTTTATTTTATGACTTTGGCTGTTCCCTATTTAACTGTTTCTCAGCGGAGAAAAGCTTTAGGCTGTTTGGGGAGGGGATATTATTTCCAAAAAGTTCTGTCCAGAGAATTCCATTTACTAGGGCGATGAAATCAAGTGTTGAATACAATATTCATAGTAGATTACCCACTAAGATGCTTAGAAAAAATTTGGCTTGTGATCAAATACGTAGTTTGTACCTGAAGGGCCTGCTCAAGGAGGCTGATCGAGAGTCAAGCCATTTGCGAGAATCAGACAGTTCTTAACAATTCGCGGAGGGCCCAAAACACATGTATCGTGAAAATTATGTTGTTACGTTCTTTAGGACAGGACTCTCTCCAAACTCCAAAAGGGCTTGCGAATTGCTATGCAATTTTGTATTATTAGATGCAGGTAGAAGGGAAGGAGATTTATTAAAGATCTTACCCCTCATCTAAGACAACTCAGATAGGTACTGATGCTGTTCCAAGCCATTTCCATGCTTTTATTATCCATTTAATCAACCAACAAAAAACAAAAAACACCGCCAAAACCGAGTGAAAACAACGCCGACATTCACAACAACAAGCCAACACAGAATTCCTGGCTCAAATCCATATCATGATGACACTCCTGTGGAAACTGGTATTGGTACCTGTTTTCACACTCCAAAACCAAGTACGTAATCCTCAACACCCAGAAAGAGAAATATATAAAAACATACCGCCGACGCCGCCTAGGGAAACTAAGGTATAAAATAACTCATATTCATCGAAATTTTTAGATCGCAGTTTTTCTGCTTCTCCCTTTCATCACCGTCCGTCTCATGATGAGCTCGAACCAGGATGTTAGATACTGGCTATAAGATTCAACTGCCTGAACTTAATCAAAGCTTGCCAACGGATACCCCAAGCCCGTTATTGCATTGAATCGTCCTATATCCATTTTCCAACCTTCGGTATCACTTCCGAGAAGCTGTCTCAAAGCTTGACTCTGATTGTAAAGAGGGCTAGGCGGTAAGCAACGGCTTGCGCACTAGTCTGCGGCACCCGCATTGCACCTTTCTTGCTGCTGGTTTCGACTATTGTGTTCTTGCAGTCTCTGGTGGTGTGGGTATTGCGCTGCTCATGCCATCACTAATATCTCCACGCCTGTTAGTGGCGGAGGATCGACCGGAGTTATAGGATTTGGTTGTGTTCGTGCTTTGACTGCTGGTCGCAGAATTGCGTCGATCATGGGTGTGTAGATATCGCCCTGAAGCCCATGCTCCTGGTGCGGAATTAGGATAATTTTGGGCATCAGAAAACTGGTTTTGCGTGTGAGCTGCAAGCGAGTGATATTGCTGGTACACAGATGCCGCCTGTGAGGCCTGCTTCAGTACGCCTGATAAATGTAGGCTAGGCTCTGAGAATCTAGAATCAACTGTAGTGTGGTGGCCAAGACGTCGTTCTTGAAAAAATTCAGTAGGGGGGATTGTGAGATTCAGGATATCCAGACCAACACAGTGCTGTAAGTGTTTAGCCTGGTGATGTTTGTGAGGGTTCGAGTGGCTTAGCGGTGAACTTTGTGCTTTAGGATCTTCAGTTGCTCGCCTTTTGTGAATTCCTGTATGTGCTGCTGTCACCGGCTCGCTATTTTTGAGGTCTTCATATGTGCTGCTCCGAGATTCAGTCCAGCCCCTCCTATCCATACCTGCGTTAATTGAGGATGTAGAAGTGACCTGACCCTCGTTTCCCTTAGCCTCAGGAAGCATCCCCAATTCTCCCATCATATGAGTCAAATCTGTCATTGAATGGATATATTTCCTCTCTCTACCCTCGATGCTTTCATCCACATTGTCGGATTCCGCAATCTCCCCTACGGATACCGTTTCACCAAGAAGCCATTTCACCTGGCCGTCTTGAGGGATGATGCGGTAGGTACACTTGTTGTGATGCACTCCACCCGCCTCCCCGAGCCCATCCCCCTTTGAGGCTACTCCCAAACCAATACTCTCAATGCTCGCTACTACCTTCTCCCGATCATCGAGGTGTACAAATGTATCGATCCATTTCCGGTGGGCCGAAGTTACTGTCGTTACTTTCGAGCTAGAAATAGCGGTATCATCCAAACCAAGGAGTTTTTTAAAGGTATGGTTCATAATCGGCGATTTATCTGAGGCCTGCTCTGTGT